CTCTATCCCTTGTGGGCCCAGAACTCCATTCCCCAACTGCAGTATAGATAAAACACATAGAAAGGTGCTTGGCACGTAGTAACCGAACCAGATCAAACCCATTGCTGTCAAGTCAATTTGAACTTATGACAACCCCGTGTGTTACAGAGTAGAACGGCTCTGTGGAGTTTTCTTGGCTGTAGTCTTTACAGAAGTAGATTGTCAGGCCATGGAGCGGTGCTGGGTGGGTTCAAACCACCAACCTTTAAGTTCTTAGTTGAGTGCAAACCATTCGCACCACCCAGGGATCTTGGCACATAGTTGCTGTTGTTGTGTGTCGTGAAGTCAATTCCAACACATAACCCCTATATGACAGCGTAGAACTCCCCTACAGGGTTCCCAGGCTGTAATCTTTACTGGAGCAGATTGCCAAGTCTTTTCTGCCACAGAGTGGCTGACAGGTTCAAACTGCAGACCTTTCAGTTAGAGGCCAAGTTCTTAACTACTGCACCACCATGATTCCTTGGCACAAATGCATTGCTGTGGAGTCTATTCTGATTCATAGTGACCCTATAGGACAGAGAGGAACTCTGGTGGTGTAGTGCCTAAGACATTTGACTGCTAACCAGAGGACTGGTGGTTCAAACCCACCAGCCACTCCTCGAAAGAAGGTTGAGCAATCTCCTTTGTAGTGATACCTCCTTGGAAACCCGATCCAACTCAACGGCAGTGCATTTGTTTTTTTTTCTAGTCTTGCGTGGTTAAAGCATTTGGCTGCTAACCAAAAGGTCAGTGGTTTGAACCTACCAGCCGCTCTGTGGGAGAAGGATGAGGCAGTCTGCTTCTGTAAAGATTTACAGCCTGGGAAGCCCTGTGGGGAAGTTCTACTCTGTCCTATACGGTTGCTATTGGAATCGACTCAATGGCAGTGGGTTTGGTTTTGGCTTATGATTATTATGCAGAAGACTCTCCTATCTCTACCCAGAGCCCCTCTTTCCACATGTTCCCACTCTTCCATCCAGACCTAGAATCCTCCTTTCCTACATATGTGCTCTTGGACACTCTCACCCCCTTTTAATCACCTCACCTGGGCTCGTCACTGTGGTGGTGACAGTTGTGGTGGTGATGATAGTTGTGGTGGTCTCCTCCTCCCCTCCTTCAGGCCCCAGGGGAGGGCCTGGAGATGCGGTGCTGGGCAAAGGTGGGGCCGTAGTTCCTGGGGGTGGGGTCAGCAGCTCCGGAGCTGTGGGGCCTGTGCCCCTGGTTCCTTTTGGGGTCACAGCTGTTGTCAGAGGCCCTGTCCCTGGCTCAGTGGCCCGTGGCAGGGAGGGTGCTGCAAGAGTCTGGCTGGCTGGAGGGGTGGCTAGCGTGGGCTCTGGATCAGATCCTGGGATAGTACAAGAGAAGGCAGGACACATGGCAAACAAATTGTGGGCTCTGGGTAGACATCAAGACTGAGGGAGACTGGGGGGTCCCCTAGTGTATGCAAAAGGCCTCCCCACAAGGGGTAGGCCCCCTGTCTTTTCCCTTCCTACCCAAACTCCCCACCTCCCAAGGCTCCCACAGTCTGACCCCCTCCCCCTCTCTTTGCCTCCACGCAGGCCCTTCCACCGTCTCCTTGGGCTTCTCTCAGCCTCCCTGTTGAGGTCTGGCTCTCTGCTGGTTACCCCTTTTCTCTCTACCTCTCTCGTTCGCACTCGCTGGCACTCTGTTTCTCTGTACACTATTCTTATTCTTACCTCTTCTGATTTAGTGGCTCTGCTAGTCTCTGGATCTGTCCCTCTCCCACCCCTACCTCTCTGCATCTGTCTGGCTCTGAGCTTCCCTCTTTTTCTCCATGTGTGTCTGTTGTTCTGCCTGACTCTCCCTCGCTCCCTCTGAATTTCACTGGCCTTTCTGGGGAGTCTCACCCATGCTGCAGCCTGGCTCACTAACTCCCAGAATCTCTGTCTTTCCCTCTATCACTCCTGCCACTTGGGGAGCCTCACCAGGCAGGTAGCCCATCTCCGGCCCCTTCCTCAGCAGGGCCCCATGGAGCAGCTCAGCCAGGGCCTCAGAGGCCACTGTGGGAGTCTCGCTTCCAGGTTCTGGCAGTGCCTCTTCCTCCATCAGGGGCAGACCTAGGAGGTGAAGTCGTGTGAGCCCCTCCCCTCTCCCACACCCCCTTCCTTCTTTAGAGAATCCTTTCCAGAGCTCCTCCTTCCTTATTCAGTCAGCTGGGCCTGCAGGGGCTCACAGGGTCCCAACATGGGCTGAGAGCCAAGACTGGGGGAGGGGATCCCAGCTGCCTCTCCCACTCCAGCCCTCCCACTCCCCCTTTCTCCCAAGGCTGCTGAGCCTTCAGTGAGCACATTGAATCTTATGGACCCTGGACAGCGCCATCAGGGCAGAGCGGGGGCAGCAGCCAGGCTCGCCTTCATGTGCAGCCCGATGGCGCTCTCCCCCAGACCTGGGGCTCTGCGGAGGGTCTGGCAGTGCCTCCCAGGCCCCGCTTCCGCAGTGTCCCAGCTTTCTCCCTGGGTTTCTGTCTCTTGAGTGTGGCAGACCTCCTCCTCTCTCTTTCTCTCTTTGCTTATCTGCAGTCTCTGTCTCCTTCCCTGGAGTCTGGCTGGGGGTCAACAGTGAGGGACTTAGTGGGCTCTGAGCCCTGTCTCCGTCCATCTGTCTTTGTCCATATGTCCAAGAGCATCTGTGTGGGTGGCGTCTGGAGTCCCTCCTGGCACCTCCATCTCCCACCCAGGTATCCTGCGTGCTCCTGCCGCTGGGCAGGCATCCCCCCCGCCCCCAACTTCCCCAGCTCTCCTTCCTGGATTTAACCCCTAAGACATTATTCAAAGCTTCCCTCCTTCATTTCCCACGGCCTCACGATGAGGGGTTAGCCGGAAAGCCCTGGCTGGCCCCGTCCCTGTCCGCGGCATCCTTCCCCTCCCCCGCGGGCTGGGAAGACCCAGGGTGTTTGGAGAAAGGCGGGCGCAAGACCCCGCTGGCGGGCGTTCTGGGGCCCACCCCCACACCCCCTTGTCCTTACCCTGAATCCGGGGACAGCTCAGCAGAATCAGGAGCAGCAGCGGAGGAGGCGGCGGACGCTGGGCCCTGGGGGTCCCCATGGCGACTCACCCCGATTTCTTCCCTCTGCGCCTTTCCTAGTCTACTTGCCACCTTTTCTCCGTCGTCTTTTATCCTTCTCTTATTATTTTTTTTCCCTCTTGCTAAGGGTCAGCAAAGGAAGACGATTTCCGTGTCCCTGGGATGGAGGGGTGGAACTGGACTGGGGGGAGCCTGGAAGCCCCCCGTTGCCCAACCTCTTGGGTTTTCTGCACCCGGGTCGGTGGTAGAGGGGGCGCGGCTCTGGCTGCAGGGGGTGGGGCCGAGAAGGCCGAGAAGGCCGGGTCGCCGGGGTTACCCTCCTGGTCGGGCTCCTGGGTCCACCTGGCTGGCTGAATCCGGAGCTGGGGCTGTGGGGAGGGGCGAGGCGGTTTCCGGAGGCCCGGGGTGGGGGTGGAGATCGGGAGGGTCTCTACTGGGTTCTAGTGGGGCTTGGCGGGGAGGGAGGGGGTTGCGGAACCGGGAGAGTCGAAGCTCTGGCACTGGGCTGCGGGAGGGAGAATGGGGAAAGGTGTCGAGCCCACGTCAGATCCTGGGGACGGGCGAGGGGAGGGGCCTCGGGTTGATTTTTGGAGGGGAGGAGGAAGCGCTGAGGGAGGAGGGAGGGGCCGTTTATTTGAGCGCGGACTGTCACCCTCGCTCCGCGGCCCCCAGGGGAGGCCCAGAAACTCTAGGTGCCCGCAGGAACTGCGCCCTCACTCTCGCGCCATTCCACCACATCTGGATCGGAATCTCCTCTTCCCGGGGCGCCGAGAGGCGGCCCAGCTGGGTTCGCACCTGCTCCGGCTCCGCAGTGTGCCTCCTCCCCACATCCAGACCCCTCGTGGGACGTCTGCCCTTCTACAAAAGCTCGTGTGGAACGGGCTTCCCCTTCCCCCCAGGAAAATGGCGAGTTTCCACGTTCGTGAGACGTCGGGGGGGACGGCTCCCAGCCTGGGGAGAGGAGGGCCCTCCCCTGCACACTCTCTGCCCCCGGCCAGCTGCCAGGCGGCTTGCACTCTGGCTTCCTCTCCTGGGCTCCCTCACGCGCCTCTGGAGCGCGCTGTTTTCAGCACCACTGGCGCGCGGACAGCTCTCCCCGCGGCCGCGCCGGAGCGAGCCCGTCGGCGATTGGCTGAAGCCGCCTGCCTGTAGACTCGGCTCACGCCCAGGGCGAAAGGGGCGGGGAGTCACCAGTGGACTGATAGAAGGACGGGTGGACTGGCCGCGGCGCCCCTGCCCCTAGGACCAGAGCCCCGTCCGTCTGTCCGCGAGCTGGCTCCTCCCCTGGATCGGCCCCGCCCCCTTCTTTTCGCATTGCGGGGAAGCTGGAGGTTGGCGCAGTGCCCCCTGCTGCCCCACGTGGTGCCCAGTAGGGCCGGGAGGGGGTGTGCAGAGACGGAGACGAACCCCCTCCCCCAAGCCCGAGTTGCGGCTGCCTCCGGGCGGGGGCGCGGGTAGCTGAGACTGGAGGGCTGCGGGGAGGGGTGACGTCAGGGTGAGTGGGAGCCAAGGAAGGAGCGAGTAGGAGAGAGGGAGCGAGCGAGAGAGAGGCAGGACCCGCGGGCCGGGTCGAGAGAGAAGCGAGGGCAGGAAGGAGGAGGGGGGGAAGGAGACAAGCCGTCGCGGAGGAAGGCAGGCTGCGGGTTCCCGGGGCTGCAGGTCCAGGCGGAGTAGGAAAGGAGGGAGAGCGGGAGAAAAGCACGGAAGGGGGTGGAGGGAGGAGAAGGAGCGAAGGGGACAGCAGCGGTGGAGAGGGGAAAGGAGACTGCAGGAAGAAGAGAAAAAGGAGAGAGAGAGAGGGGGAAGGGGGCTACGGAGGGAGAGGAGAGTGGGAAGGAAAGAAGAGGCGGGAGAGGAGCAAAGGACAGGGGGTTACCGGAGACCAGAGGGAGGCACACGGAGGGGGGACTCCGGAAGGAGAGCCAGCAGTGGAAATGTGGAAGGGAGACAACCTAGTGGGGAACCAGGGTGCAGCCATGGAGGGCACAGGAGAGCTGGCGGGACAGGGGAGCCTGGGCCTGGCAGATGCCCCAGGCTTCTTGGCCAGGGCCCCCCCGCCTATCATGGCCCCCTGGCCGTTGCCCCTGGCCTCCTCAGCCCTTACCCTGCTCCTCGGAGCCCTCACGTCCCTTTTCCTGTGGTACTGCTACCGTCTGGGCTCCCAAGACATGCAGGCCCTGGGGGCTGGGAGCCGGGCTGGAGGGGTCAGTGGTGGGGCCTGCTCTGAGGCCGGCAGGTCAAGTCCAGGGGGCACTGGAGACCGTGGGGAACGACCCAGGACAGAAGGCCTAGTGAGTCGCCGGCTTCGAGTCTATGCCAGGCGCTACTCCTGGGCCGGGATGGGCAGGGTGAGGCGGGCAGCTCAGGGTGGACCAGGCCCTGAGGGAGGGCCGGGGGTCCTGGGCATTCAGCGTCCAGGCCTCCTTTTCCTGCCAGACCTTCCCTCGGCCCCCTTTGTGCCACGGGATGCCCAGCGGCATGACGTGGAACTCCTGGAGGGCAGCTTCCCTGCCATCTTGCGCGACTTTGGGGCTGTGAGCTGGGACTTTTCAGGGACTACCCCTCTGCCTCGGGGCTGGTCCCCGCCCCTGGCCCCTGGGTGCTACCAGCTCTTGCTGTACCAAGCAGGCAGGTGCCAACCCAGCAACTGTCGCCGGTGCCCGGGGGCCTACAGGGCACTGAGGGGGCTGCGGAGCTTCATGAACGCCAACACCTTCGGCAACGCTGGCTTCTCTGTCCTCCTGCCTGGGGCCCGGCTCGAGGGCCGCTGTGGGCCCACCAACGCCAGGGTCAGATGCCATCTGGGTAAGTAGACGCCTACCGACCACAGCCTTGCCTTCAGGATTCCCCCTCCAGGCCCTCTTCTCTGTACACTGTGGTTCTGATCATGCTTCTCATCTCAGAAGTCTCCCATGACTCCCACTGTCCAAGCAGCATGTCCTGAGCTGCAGTGACCTGCAAGCCACCTTCACTGCTTTGCCATGACCATCTACCACCTGGACCGTTTCATCGCATCAACTCCACCTTTCTTTTACTTGTTTCAAACAAATCTTTGTAGAACTGTACATGATAATATTGCTCGCCCTAAATAGAAAGTACCCATAAAAACCATTTTAAACTTAAAAAGGAAAACTTTAAAACTTCTAACGAAATACTCGTCTCTTGAACCTAGCAACGCTCAAGTTTAAAAAGGTGCGGTGTAAGTGCTGTGTTTAAGCTGTGCCTGCACGAGACTGTCATTTTCTTGGTGCTTGTCTTAAAGACTGAAAAGAAGAAAATGAGAAAGGACTGTCCTTTAACACCATGGCCTTGTTTCATCTCAGACCATCTTCTGTGCTGCCAGATGGATGTGTCCTACACTGTGGGGTACAGTGGCCTCCAGGACAGCTCCAGATCTTCCCTCTAACGCCACATCTGTCCACCCCCTTCCCCGCTCTCATCAGAAGGCTGGTCCCGGCAGCTGCACCAGTCCCTACTGCACTGTCCACCAGAATGTGTCTTCCCCACCATCTCCCGGAACACTCCTTCAGGGCCTGATTTTCAGGTGCTACATCTCCTCCAGGCTTTCCCATCCCCACCAGTTGAGCTGGCTGCTTCATCTGCTCACAGCACTTGATCATGTCCTGCCCACAGGGCAGCATGGAGTCAGTCATCTTTCAGACCTCCTCACGGAGACAGGGCCTCACATACTGCAGGTTCAGGAAGCCCAGGAGGAGAGGCCAATTCCTCCAGGAAGTCTTCCTTTTTCTCTCAAACAGAATAGATTCCACTTTCCTCTTATCTCCTAGCACTGCTTTCATCCAGTATTGTATCTAATTATACTTGGGTCATCTTCCAGATAGCAATGAGGGGTCACTACAGAACCTGGCCCATAACAGCACCTCAGATCTGCTTACTGACTAAACAGGGCGAGCTGCTTGGACAGAAGCAAGGGTGCTGGATGCCCAGGTCTCTTTCCACAGGCCTGAAGATCCCCCCTGGCTGTGAGCTGGTGGTTGGTGGCGAGCCCCAGTGCTGGGCTGAGGGGCACTGTCTACTGGTGGACGACTCCTTCCTGCACACAGTGGCACATAACGGTATGGGGAACTCCATCCCGCCAAGAAGGATGAGGGATTAAAGAGAGAAAAGGGCGCAGACAACTAGAGGGCTGCAGGACCAGGCTGAACGGGCTTCCTGTCCTGGCACAATTTTCCAGCTCATGACCTTGAACAAGTCCTAAAACGTCTTCAGTCACCTCAAGTCACCACCACCTTTATCAGGTGATTGCAAGGCTTAAATAAGTTAATGTAGGTGCCCAGCAAAGTGATTAGCAGCATAGGACCCCCTGGGCCTGGACACCTGGGTACTTGCCCCACCTGTGACCTTAGGCAAGTTGCTTAACCTTCCATGCCTCTGTTACTCTATATACAATGGGCATTACGCCGCTACCTCAGTTCGTTCTGATGATTTAAGAGCTAATGCCTATTAAGGGCTAGGACGGTGCCTGGCAGTGTCTGCTGTCTGCTTGTATGAATCGCTGGTGAATGCTCCCAACACATAAGCACTTCTGTCAGTGGCTCTCCTGTCTCCATTCCATGTGCTGTAGGATCCCCTGAAGATGGGCCTCGCGTTGTCTTCATTGTGGACCTTTGGCACCCCAACGTGGCTGGGGCTGAGCGCCAGGCCCTCGACTTCGTCTTTGCACCAGACCTTTGAAGGGAGGTGTTCCCTTCAGACACCAGGGCTGGAGAGATGCTGCTCAGGAACGACTTGAGTGGTAGCCAGTGCAGGGGTGGGCGGACCCTGAGGGCAAGGACTGGAACTGGCCAGCAAGAACGAAATACAGATTTTGAATCTTCTGCTAGCTCCTGACTCCTTCCTTCCCTGCGACCAGGCACAGGAAGAGGCTTGGGGCAAGGGCTCCTTTTCCCATTCAACTAGCCACGTACGGTTTTAACACAAGCCATCTTCCTGTCCCTCTCCCTGGGAGCCAGCACCAGACTCTCACCTCAACTTTATTTCAATAATTTAATAGAAAATTAAAATAATAAATAATATGAAACATACTTAGAAGACAGCTGAGGTGGTACAGGCCCAGGCCAGCCTAGTACAAAGCGAAGGTGGGAAGGGCTGGTAGGGGAGGGGTGGGGAGGCCAACGCACTGTGCAGGGGCATCTGCCAGTGCACCGCGAGGCAGCTCAGAATGGGGTGGGTGGTGTTGTGGGCTGGGCTGACACTTCGGCCCATGGACGGTGTACTAAAAAAAAAGAAAGGGGATTACAAATCCTAAACCAGCTGGCGAGGGAACGGTAACAGGACAAGAGCGAGGTGAGTGGACGAATGCAGGCCTTCTGGCGGGCTCTGCCTGAGGGAGGGTCTGGAATGTACCGTGTTGTTAGCAGTGAGGTGGGGACAAATAGAACTGCACCATGCAATGGAGGGACAAAAGGAAGACCCACGACTTGGCCAGCAGAGCCGGGGCAAAGGTCTGGGAACAAGAGGGAGAAGAAAGGGGGACTGAGCCCCAGGGCCAGGAAAGCAGGGGAAGGGTCAGAGGTCAGTCCTTGAAGACAATCTGCTGGCCGTGAGGACGCTCATCATGGGTGATGTGGCGTCGGACATGGATTCTGCGGACCCGGTGCTCTCGGTTCTCCTCGTCCTCCCCTCGGCCTGCCCCGCCACCTCCAGCTGTACCCCCTATGGCCTCCAGGAGGGCTGGGTCTGGGCCCCGAGGAGTCTCGTAGATCAGGATGTTCAGGGTCTCCTCAAAGATCCGGGCTTCTGGAAATTCCACCTGTAAAAGGCCAGCAACCCCCAGCTCCCACCCTCTGGTCCAGTCCCCCAGAGCCAGCCCCCTTCCCCAGCCATGTGCGTACTGACACACCTCCTAGCTTTGCAGTCACAGGTCCTTTGGCCTGGACTGTCCTCTCTGCAGCTTCTTACTGCACAAAGTCTACCTTGGACTCAAGGTCCAGCTCTGAAGTCAGGTGGAGTTACTCACTGCCAAGCTTCTTGGTATGTTTACTGAGTGACTGCAGTGTGTTAGACGCTGTTCTAGGCACTGGAAATACAGCAGAGAACAAAACAGACAAATCTCCTGCCCTCAGGAAGGTTATGTTCTAGGGGGAGGACTCAGACACACACTTAATAAAATGCATAGCAAGTCAAATGATGATAAATGTTACGGAGAAAAATACGGCAGGGAAAGGGGATGAGGATGGCTAGGGCTGGCAGTGCTGCAGCTTTAGACTGAGGTCAAGGCAGGCCTCATTGAGATGACATCTGACCAAAGACCAAAGGAGGAGAAGGAGGGAGCCCGTTGGGTAGATAAAGAAGAGCAACAGTACAAACGCTCTGCAGCAATGCACTTATCTGAAGATCAGCAAGGAGGCCAATGGAAGGAGAACAGAAGATGAAAGGACATAATAAACAAAGCCCTTAACCAACTGTATTCTAACTACTGGCTTATCTTCCTGTCTCTTCAGTTACAGAGGAAGATTTTTGGAAGCTGAGTCCTTCCCTTATTCATGCATGCATTCAATAAATGTTTCCTAGCTTCCACAGTGTAACAGGGCTGCCCAGTGCTAGAGAGATAAGAAGGAAAAAGACACAACCCTGCCAACAAAGACCAAACACCCTGCTGCTGAAGCAACCGCCAGGACCAATTTTGTCTGGGCTTGTTGGGTTAGAAGTTCATGAGCAAAGGTATCCCAAAGAAAGTGGTACTTGGCTTGAGTATTAAAGGTTAAGTACAACTTCATTAGGCAGACAGGAACGAGGCAACAGAGTTTCAAGAAGAGAGAATAGTGTGTGCAAAGGCAGAGAGGTGTTAAGATAGCACTGGGTGCTTAGACATTTGCTAGAACTTTGGTCTATCTGAGGCACTTCCCTCAAAGGTCAGAAGGGACCAGACTGGTGAGATCTGTAGGAACCGGATGACAAAGGGCTTGTCCTTGACTCAGCACTCGGTTCACCTTTCCTTTGGCCTGGCCTGATGCAGTGATGTGCACACAGAAGGAGCTCAGGAAGTATTTACTGATGAATGCCGTATTAGTGACTCAAGACCACAAACCCAGAGAGTGTTCTGGGAGTCCATCTGGTCCTGAGTTTTCATGAACTTATTTGGGGGTCATGGACCTTTCTGAGATTAGGACAACTACAGACCCACTACATAGAGGACCCTCAACGAGATGCACTGACACAGTGGCTACGACCACGGGCTGAAGCACAGCAACAACTGTGAGCATGGTACAGGACCAGGGAGTTTCACTGTTGTTCACAGGGTTGCTATGAGTTGGAGCCAACTCGACAACACCTAACACCACAAAAATGCACCCACTCCCAAACCTGCACAGTATTCCAGGGGATTGCAGGAAGCCCTGGAATTAATGCAACAACCCTATGTTAAGAACCAACTCCACTCTACATCCTCATCTCACAGAGAGCTACAGAGGTTAAGGTGACTTGCCCAGGTGAATGCACCTCAGCCCTGGCCCTTGACCCCCAGTGATGGACTCTCTCTGGCCTGAGCTGCGAGCTGCCTTTATCCAGGGCCCTGGTGCAGCCTGTGCCTCCCCCCACCCCTCAACTAGAGCCTGAATCCCTTCTGACCTTGGTCTGCTTCTTCTCCGTGGCATAGACAATGGAGGTGCAGCACACCTCGGCGATTTTGCGGCCCTGCCCGTAGAAAGACCAGCAGCAGATTTCGTCCCCCAAAACATCCTTGAGGAAGAGCAGCCGCCCGTGGAAGCGCAGGGCCAGTTTGTCAAACAGCTCGATGTTCTTAAGTAGGTTGTCATCTGAAGTGCTGAGGACCAGGGGGCCAGGAGGCCTCAGCACAACTGGCTTCCTCTCCTCCATTCCCCCCAAGGATAGGGGCCCAGACTCCCTGCACTCTGATCCTGCCCAGGGGTTTGGTGTCTAGCACAGAACTTCCTCCACCCCTAGAGCCAGGCTAAGGGGGCCTCAGAAAGGAGGCAGCATTTGTAGAGCAAACCCCAGCATACCAGAGGGGCCACACATGCAGGCCCTGGAGCAAGGCTGCCTAACCTGACATCCTGGCGTGACTACTCTGTAACTGAGTGACCCTAGGGAAGTGGCTTCACCTTTCAACCTCCTCTGCTATAAACTGGAGACCACATCAGAACCCACCTCAAACGGCCGTGAGGACTACATATGATACAGGTAGTTCTTGACTTATGACATATGACAAAACTGCACCTAGACCATCCCTTTTTTGGTCTGTTTGGCTTACGTAATACGCCTCTAACTGGAGGAGCAGGAAGTGCCTATATTGAAGCTGTAAGTTTATATGCAATGTTTCTAACCCCCAAAGACAAATTAAGATCTGATTTATAAAAATACTGATAATAAAAAGCAGTAACAATAAAAACAAAACAAAGAGGTATTCAACTTACATGATAATCAACTTACAGGGAAGTTGTGGGAACGGAAACCCTGTCCTAAGTCGGGGGACTACCTGTACATGTATGTCAGGCGTTTAAGGAGATGCTGTTATAAACTAGACCTTATTAAATGCTAGCCTTGATCACTTAATCTTCACCTGGACCCCGGGTTGCCACCAATAAACCTGCAGCTCAGAAGTGAAAATAAGCTGCCCCAAGCACCCAGTGGGAAAGTGGCGGGGCTGGAAGTGGCTCTGGGCAGGCAGTCTCTGAGCCTGTGTGTGGCAGGGCCCTCCCCCGGGCCAAGAGCAGGGCTGTGCTGGCTCCCAGCCCCCCCCCCCGCACACCCCCACGGGCTGTCACCTGGTGTAGGAGTACTTGTTGTTACTGCGGTTGTGCAGGAGCTTCACCACGGGCTGTTGGGGGAGACAGGATGGAGAAGGACGGGGTAAGGCTGCAGAAAGTGGCCCCCAGCCTCCACCCTACAGGCTCAGGGGCCTCACCTTGGAGGTGCTGGCCAGGAGCTGCTGCTCCTCCCGGGGAGATGTCACCGTGGGGATGAGGCACAGCGGGGACAGGTTCTCCCTTTTTTGCTGGGGAAGAAGTGGAAGGTGGTTAACAGCACAACCAAAGGCCACTCCCCCACTTACAAGCCTTCCAAAGCTGCCTGCTGTCCTTGGGGAAAGTCTAGACTCCTTAGGGGGCCACAGGCCCTGCTGGATCCAGTCTTGATTTCTCTCGTCTCTACTCTCCCCTAGCTGGCCAGCCTTCAGCCCCACCGGTGTCTGTTTCTTCACAATCCACCTGCGCTCATCCTGGCCCCTCACTGTTCCCCTCCCGGGAAAGCTCCACTCAGCTCTCTGCTGGCGGCTTCTTCTTCCAGTCAGATCTCAGCTCTGCAAGTGCCTCCCCAGAGGGTGCCGGTCATCCTCCCTAAGCTCCCTGGCTAACGCAGCCTCCTCTACTTCCTCCCCCTCACGTTTTTAGCTCGTTTTCTTCACAGCACTTTTCTCATTTTTCATACATCTGCTTATGGTCCGTTTCTTCCCACGCAAGGAGTAAGTGCTCCGTAAGTGTCTGTTGAAGGAATGAACCTGGCTGACAAAAGGCTGGAGGCAGAATCAGGACCAAACGCACAGGCTTCTTTCTCCTCTCCTGGAATCTTCACGCCAACACCTTGCCACTTCTTCTAACCTACAAACTGTATGCGTAACCCCAATGTAAATTCTGGAAGATTCTTTTTTTGAGAAATTCATAAGAAAACTTATCCAAAAATTAATATGGAAAAATACAAGCCTACAATTACTGAAGTCTATTTTTAAAAGGAAGAGCAAAGAGGAGAGACCGGCCCAGCAAAAATTATGATACACTGCAAAATCGTAATACAAAGTATGGTTCTGGTGCAGACAGACAAACCAATGGAATAGAACAGAGCTCATAAACAGACTGGTGTAAATACAAGAAATGGATATTTACCACAAATCAATGGTATTGTTGTTGTTGTTAAGTGCCGTCGAGTCGTTTCCGACTCATAGCGACCCCATGCACAGCAGAAAACACTGCCCGATCCCGCGCCAGCCCCACAATCCCTGCTATACTTGAGCCCATCATCGCAGCCACCGTATCAATCCATCTCCTTGAAGGCCTCCACCCTACCAAGCATGACATCCTTCTCCAGGGAATAGTCCCTTCTTACAACATGACCAAAATAGGTGAGACGAAGTCTGGCCATTCTTGCTTCCAAGGAGCATTCTGGCTGCACTTCCTCCAGGACAGATCTGTTAGTTCTTTTAGCAGTCCACGGTACTTTCAGCATTCTTCACCAGCACCACAACTCAAAAGCATCAACTCTTCTTCGGTCTTCCTTATTCATTGTCCAGCTCTCACATGCATACCAGGCGACTGGAAATATCATGGCTTGTGTCAGGCGCACCTTAGTCCTCAATGAGATATCCTTGCTCCTCAGCACTTGAAACAGTTCCTTCGCAGTTGACTTTCCCAATGCTACACGTCGTCTAATGTCCTGACTGCTGCTTCCGTTGGCATCGATTGTAGAACCAAGCAACGTGAATTCCTTGACAAAATCAATGGTATAGATTGTTATTTATTGCAGCACAATAAATTACTCCAAAAATTAGCAGATTAACTCAACAATAAATATGACCTCACAGATTCTGTGGGTGAAGAATTCAAGAGTGGCTTAGCTGAGTGGTTCTGGCATGCAGTCTTTTATGAACAGACAGTCAGATGTAGCCAGGGTTGCAGTCATTCGAAGGCTTGACCGGGTCTGAAGGATCCATTTCTGAGAAAGCTCACTCATGCCAGTTGGCAGGAGGCATCTGATCCCTGCTATCTGGACCTCTCCACAGGGCTGCTTAAGTGTCCTCATGACATGGCTACTGGCTTCCCCAGAGTAAATGATCTGACAGTAGGGGCAGAGACCTCTATGTCTTCTATGACCTAGCTTCAGAAATCACACACTATCATTTCCTCAATATCCTGCTAAGTACAGAAATCTGCCCGGCTTGGTGTGGGAGACCATACAAGGGAACGGGTACCAGGAGGCAGGAAACACTGGGGGCTACCTAAGAGACTGGCTCCATAATCCACCCTGTCCCCCACAGAATCATGTACCTCCTGTATGCAAAATTCACTCACCCCCCCCTCCCAAGGTCCCCAAAGTCTCATCTCATTACAGTATCAGCTTGAATGTACAGATTCTTGTCATCTAAACCAGGTCCAGGTGGGGATGGGGTTCCTTAACTAACAGCTCCTAAGCACATTTCCTCTTGATCTGAAGACCTATGAACTAAGACTAGTTATCTTCCTCCATACATCTAATGTACAATGGTGGACTAGAGACAGGGTAACCACTATAGACACTCTTGTTCCAAAGAGGAGAAAAACAGGAGGCACACATGAGTCAATGGTCCAAAACAAGTGTGAAATCCAGTTGGGTAAGTAAGTCCTCTGATCCCTACTCCTGACCAGGAATGATTCTTCGTGGCTCCTGGCTCTGCCCTTTCCTTTTCCACGAAAGGTAGTCTACTTGTAGCTCCATAGTTTTCTTAGCCTGCTTCCTGCCTATAGAAATGTGGGGGTCCAAAGTTCTCTCCTCCTTTTAGTCCAAGATGGCAGTGTTTCTGCCAATATAATTCTCTTAAAAATTTAATGGATGTCTTGTGGATTTTACCAGAGTTCACGTCCTTAGACAAAAGCCACAGTAACAAATCTCTGTGAGAAAAGCCCTTTTCTTTTTTGGGCTTGTGCTAAGACTGCTGAGGAACACCTTTAACCTTCTGAAAAGTCCTATTATTATCAGACTGAATGGTTCTCTGAGGTATTCCCCTTGTCAAGGTCTTAACAAAGGATTTTACAATTACATCCTCAATGTCACCTTTAGACCATGTTTTCCTGAGAATGCCCAGTTACTTGGAAGCTGTCTGTTAATTTTAACACCTTTTGTTATCTGGAAAGCCTGGAAATTTTCAATGCCAACAGTATCTGGCTCCATTTTGCTCAACTGTTTTTTCTTTACCTTACTCCAAAAAGGGCATGGAAGTTGCATCCTCTGACCTCTAATTTCACAAGGGGAGACAGAATCACCATGAACAACCCAAGGCTGGTTTCTATGAGGCAAAAGTCAGACATGCTGCTATCCTCCAATATTTTTACCAATTCTGATACCAACCGTCCCTCGCATGACACTCTCTACTTCTCTCCTAGGTTCAATAACTTGTTGCCAAGTCACATAGAACTCACAGATAATATTCACAATTAAGGGGTTTATTAGGGAAGTAACAGGTTACAATTCAGGTTCAGGAACGCTAAGGATACAATTCTTCAATCAGGACAGCCTCCCTTCGTCATGCCCACAGGCACGCCTCTCCTTGGTCCTTGGCCTCTTGTCCTGGCCTCTGCCCTGCTCCGGCAAGTGTTACAAAGCTCTTCCAGCTCTGCGGACAGGTGCACTTCATTCCACCAGCAAGCCTCCTTCTAGTCTGTGTTCTGCTGCCATCGTCTCAGCACAGGGATCCTGGGTCCAAGGACATGCTCTGCTCTCAGCTTTTCTGTCTTGATGGTAGTGAGATCCCCCTTTCTACCTCTAGGAAGGCCCATTTTAAGCCTCCAAAAAAACCAAACTCACTGCCATCGAGCCAGATCAGACTCACAGCAACCCCTCCTTGGGTTTCCGAGGTGCTATCACTACAGAAATAGATTGCACAATGGTAAAACTGACCAGTCCTCACATTAGGGTTCCATTCACCTATTTCCATGGTCCCACCCCCCGCAAGGGTTCCAGGTACCTTATTTACATTGTTGATAAGCTATCCAATCCCCTTGGTAGGCCCCAAGCACCTTATATTTGCATAATTCCATCCAGTCACCTGGTGTGAGTCACAAAGACCATGGCTAAGAGCCACCAAGCAATTCATTGCACCACACCTACCCTCCTCTCCTGCCTTTCATTTTACTGTAAGCAACAAAAGAGCAAGGGACACCTTCAACGCTCTGCTTGGAAATCTCCTTAGTGCTATCACCCAGTTTATTAAGAAAGCGTTCTACTTTCTACATTGCCACAAGTGACAGTGTTGCTAAACTTTCTGCCACTACCTAACAAGGATTCCCTTCTCACCAGTGTCTAATTACACTGTATTCACAGTTCTTTAACCTAGCCTGCAGCCTCCTCAACGGCCATCAGACTTCTAGATTCTTCAAAGCTCTCCAGGCTTTTGCTAACAGCTTCCTCAACTTCTGCCCACTTCCCAAATCTAAGGTCATTCCTATGTTTTAGGTTTTGGTTATGGCAGAACCCTACTTCAGATACCAAAAATCTGTATTAGTTACCTGTAACTGTGTAACAAATTACTGCAAACTTGGTAGCTTGAAATAGCAACAAACATTTATTATCTCACAGAATTTCTGTGGGTCAGGAATTTGGGGTTGGTTTAATTGGGTAGTTCAAGGTCTCTTAGGAGGTTGCAGTCCAGATGCTGGCCAGGGCTGCAGTCATCTGAAGCCGTGACTGGGCCTGGAGGATCCAATTCTGAAATGATCTGCTCTTATGACTGCTATTGTTCTGCGTGTTGACAGGAGTCCTCAGTTCCTCACTAAGTGAACTTCTCCCTAGGGTGGCTTAAGGGTCCTTGCAACATGGAAGCTGGCTTCCCTCAGAGTGAATAATCCAAGAGAGCAAGACAGAAGCTTCAAAGCCCTTTAAGACCCAGCTTCAGAAGTCACACATCATCATTTCCACAGTATCCTGCTGGTTACACAGGTCAGCCCTATTCAGTATGTTGTTGTTGTTATTTGCCCTCGAGTCAGACCCGACTCATAGCAACCCCTCCTTGGGTTTCTGAGGCAGTATCACCATGGAGCTCTGGTAGCATAGTGGCTAAGACACTTGCCTGCTAACCAGATGGCTGGCGGTTCAAACCCACCAGCCACTCCTCGGAAGGAAGGTTGGGCAATCCTACTTCCGTAGTCCTTGGAAACCCAAGGAGGGGTCACTATGAGTCAGGGCCGACTCGATGGCACATAACAACATCACTATGGAAGTAGATTGCCCAATCTTCCTGCCTAGGAGTGGCTG